TGGGCAGAAAAGGTAAAGAATGTGGGATCACCCCTATTTTGCTTTATTTGTTGCTTCTTTTTTCCGGTACAATACTTCTAGCAGTAATGACTCAGACACAATGACAATGTTAACAAAGACTAGACTATCTGGAACTTAATTTCTTTTTTTTTTTTTTTTTAGGCTTTTGGAGGTTGAAACAAAAATCACTTTTTTTTTTTTTTTACAAATAGTTTATTGTCAAATTAGTTTCCACATGACACTCAGTGCTCATCCCCACAAGTGCCCTCCTCCATGCCCATCCCTCCTCCCCCCCACATCCATCAGTCCTCAGTTTTTGTCAGCATTCAAGAGTCTCTCATGGTTTGCCTCTCTCCCTTTCCCCCACCATTTCCGCCCTTCTTCTCCCCCTTGTTCCTCAGTTAAGTTCTGGAACTTAATTTCAAACTTAGGAATGATGGATTACACAATACATTAAAAGGAACACACACCATGATCAAGTGGGATTTTTTTCTAGGGATACAATGATGGTTCAACCTCTATAACTCAATGTGATGCCCTACATTAATGAAATAGAGGATCGTATAATCATCTCAATAGATGTAGAATAAGCATTTGACAAAATTCAACAACTCTCAACAAAATGGGGATAGAGGGAATGTACTTCAACATAATGAAGGCAAGATATTACAAGCCCACAGCTACTATCATACTCAACAATGAAAAACCTAAAGCTTTTCCCTTTAAGATCAGGAATAAGACAGGGATGTCCACTGTTACTGTTTTTATTCAATATAGTACTGGGAATCCTAGCCAGAGCAATGAGGCAAGAAAAAAAAATAAGAGGCATCCAAATCTGAAAGGAAGAAGTAATAGGGTCTCATGACATTATATAAAGAAAAACCCTTAAGATTCCATCAAAAAAACTGTTACAATAAATAAAGTTAGTAAAGTCACAGGATACAAAATCAATGCAGATAAATCTGTGGTATTTCTATACACTAATAATGAATTACTAAAAAGAGAAGTTAAGAAAGCAATACCATTCGCAATTGCATCAAAAAGAATGAAATACCTAGGAATAAATTTAACCAAGGAGGTGAAAGACCTGTATACTGAAAATTCTAAGACATGGATGAAAGAAACTACAGAAGAAACAAATAAATGGAAAGATATTCTGAGTGGAAGAATACTGTTAAAAATGTCCATACTACCCAAAGCAATCTACACATTCAGTGTAATCTCTAACCAAAATTCTAATGACATTTTTCACAGAAATGGAATAAGTAACCCTAAATTTTGCATGGAACCACAAAAGGCCATGAATCGCCAAAGCAATCTTGAGAAAGAACAAGCTGGAGGTATCACACTTCCTGATTTCGAACTATATTACAAACCTGTACTAATAAAAACTGCATAGTATTGGCATAAAAGCAGTCACACAGATCAATGGAACTGTTGAGAGCCCAGAAATCCACACATATATGGTCAATTAATTTACAACAAAGGAGCCAATAATATACAACAGGGCAGGGCCAGTGTCTTCAATAAACGGTGCTGGGAAGACTGATGGCAACTTGCAAAAAGAATGAAACTGGACTGCTATCTTATACCAAACACAAAAAGCACCTCAAAATGAATTGAAGACCTGAACATAAGACCTGAAACCATAAAACTCCTAAAACAAAACACAGGCAGTAATTTCCTTGACATCAGTTTGGTAATTTTTAGATCTGACAACAAAAGTAAAGGCAACAAAAGCAAAAATACACAAGTGGGATTACATCCAACTAAAAAGCTGCTGCACAGCAAAGAACACTGTCAACAAAATGAAATGGGTTCTCCCTACTGAATGGGAGAACATACCTGTGATGCTTGTATCGGGTAAGGGGCTAATGTGCAAAATATATAAAGAACTCCTACAGCAAAAACATTTCATCTTAGGATCCTTGTTTCTAGCCATACAGTTCCCCACCATTCTTTACATTTGACAGATGCTAGTTGTGTGATTCTGTTAACCTTGCAATAAATGGTACGTGAGTTAAAAGAAACGACTCATCCTTACAGAAAAGAAAAAAAAAAAGACAGAACTGATGGACTAGAACAGTTAACTGCTGAGGAAGGAAGTAGGAAACACGAAAAAAAAATCATATAGTCCCCATAGAGGACAATTAGAGGGGGGAAAAACCCCAATGTGGGAGACTACTCACATGAGAAAACAACTGGGAACAGATTATAAAGTTTTCATAATCTGGGATGTCCATAAACTAACAAATACAAGTAATTAGAAAAACCTTTAAAGTTCACCTTAAATAACAACTAATCAATAAGCCTTGTGGAAGTGGGTCTTGAGACTGGCCTATAATGACAGAAAAGTATGTTTTACTAAGGAACTATTTATTATTTAGAGGGGAAAAAAGGAGCAGCAGATATTTTGTATCAAGATAACAGATGTCCTGTAGGGAAATCCAAGTGAGCAGAACTCAAGAATGTGTCTGACAGACAGAAATGGAACTCTGATGGGGGAAATACACGTATGTCAACTGGTCAAACGTGTGCCAGTGACCTGTAGAACTGCAGAGATCTTGTTCAGCTAAAATTAGTGTCTAACAGGTTCTTCATCTGCCTTAGCATTCACTCCATCTCCAAGAGGATAATGGCTATGGAGAACCAGGGGAAACTGCTACCCAGAACCTAATACACACCCATTATGTGAAGGAACTAGTAATTAGGAAGAAAGCAACCCATTATCACAGAGTTTGCAAAACCCAGAGCAAAGATAGCTGGGTAATTACAAATCATCCTGATGAGAAAGAAAATGAAGAAACCAGCAAGAATGCACAAGATAAAATTTAAGAAAGGCTCACACAAAAGCTATTAAGGCAAATGCAGGATGACAGTACAAACCCAGAAAATTATTTTCAAAAATTAAAAAGACCAGATTTAAAGATTTCAAATAATGACAGAAACAAGCAAAGTGGCTTCACTCATCTCCTTTCCAAAAGATTTTTTTTTTAAAAAGTGTTTTCCAGGGGCACCTGGGTGGTTCAGTTGGTTAAGCATCCAACTTTGGCTCGAGTCATAATCTCGCAACTCGTGGGTTCAGGCCCCACATCGGGCTCTGTGTGTACAGCTCGGAGCCTGGAGTCTGCTTTGGATTCTGTCTCTCCCTCTCTCACTGTTCCTCCCCTGCTCACAATCTGTCTCCATCTCTCAAAAATAAGTAAACGTTTAAAAAAAATAAATTTTTAAAAAGTATTTTCCAGAGGAAGAAAAAAAAGGAAAGAAGTGTGTCTACTGCTCAGGGTCAACAAAATAATGAAAACATTTTCAAACCCTTTTTTGCTTTTGTTTCCTCCATCAAGAACAACCTGAGAACGAGATCATCCCAGTAAGACTAAAGGACATTGAAAATGGGTGCAGAGACTGTCAGAATGCAAGTATGCTGGTTCTTAAAATAGGTTTCTCTGTTATATACTCTCATTTCATTTCAATAAACCTGCTGTTTGTATCTTGTGCATGTATTCTAATTTCAAAAAATCTCCCATCCTATTAAGATGTAATAACCCAGCTTTCTTTGCCCTAGGATTTGCAAACTTAAAAAATAATATAGTTGCGGGGTGCCTGGGGGGCTCAGCTGGCTAAGCATCTGACTCTTGATTTTGGCTCATGATCCCATGGTTCGTGGGTTGAAGCCCCACGTTGGCACTGACAGCATAAAACCTGCTTGGGATTTTCTCTCCCCCTCTCTCTCTGCTCCCAAAATAAATAAACTTTTAAAAAACCCCATAATAATATAGTTGCTTTCTTCCAAATTTCTAGTCACTTTGCTTTACATCACTAAATCCAAAAGAAATTTTCCAGCCCTGGGCATAACCTCCTCAGCAGTGTCAGTGGCAGCTAACCACTTAACTTACGAGATAATGTACATTTCTTTGGCTTCCTCTCTCTCTGTCAGTCTGCTTGGCTATCCAGTCTTCTCAGTCCTTTTGTTGAAAAGACTATTCTTTTCCCCCACTGAATTGTCTTGGCATCTCTGCAATCAGTTGATCTCACTTCCATTCCACTGGTCTATGCCAATACCACACTGTATTGCACTTAAATTTTGAAATCAGGAAATGTAAGCCCTTTAATCTTGTTCTTTTTCCAAGACTGTGTTGACTACTGGGGGTCCACATGAATTCTGGGATCAGCTTGTCAATCTCTGCAAAAATCTCCCTGGTATTTTTTTAGGATTATGTTGAACCTGGAGGCCAGTTTGGGGAGCACTGCCATATGAACAATATTAGGTCTTTGGATCCATGAATATGGGAGGTCTTTCTACTTATTTAGATCTTTAATTTCTTGTGACAATGTTTCGTAGTTTTCAATGCTAATGCCATTTTATTTTATTTTATTTATTTATTTTTTTTTAAATGTTTTATTTATTTCTAGGAGAGAGAGAGACAGCGCGAGCAGGGGAGGGTCAGAGAGAGAGGGAGACACAGAATCTGAAGCAGGCTCCAGGCTCTGAGCTGGCAGTCAGCACAGAGCCCGACGCGGGGCTCGAACCCACAAACCGCGAGGTCATGACCTAAGCGAAAGTCGGACGCTTAACCGACTAAGCCACCCAGGCGCCCCAACTAATGCCATTTTAAATGCTTTTTTTAAAAAATTCATTTTCTAATTGATTGTTCCTGGCATAGAGATGTACAATTTACTTCTATTTTTGTATGTGTATTGATCTTATATCCACTGACCTAAGTTTACTTGAGTTAAAAAGAGAAAATCATTCTGTTATATGGAATAAGAAATTAAGCTTTACTGATGTTTCCTTACAGATGCTGTGTGTCTCCTATGGTATCTAAGGTGTCCTGAATGGGATCCCACAAATGAAAAGAGGATAGCAGGGACTCCCCTCACATGTGTAAAATAGCTGCATTATGTGGATTTACAGATGAGACCATCTACTTTTAAATAAATCATCCCTCATTAAATACACAAATGCTTTTAGGAAAAAAAAAAAAAAAAGCTGTAGGGGCGCCTGGGTGGCTCAGTTGGTTGAGCGTCTGACTTTGGCTCAGGTCCATGGGTTTGAGCCCCATGTTGGGCTCTGTGCTGACAGCTCAGAGCCTGGAGCCTGCTTCAGATTCTGTGCCTCCCTCTCTCTCTGCCCCTCCCCCACTTGCTCTCTGTCTCTCGAAATAAAATAAAGACATAAAAAAAATTTTGAAAAAAAAAGCTCCAAAGTAAAGCCAATGGGTAGAACTGACATTTCTATTGGCATACAAGCTCTTTTTAGCCACCACGAAAGGGCAAAAAAAAAAAAAAACCACCTCCAAAAAACACCCCCCAAAACTCCAAAACCCAACTAATCAGATTTAGGAAAGAAAGCCAAGAAGTTAGAAATTAACATGAAAACTATTAGAAATACAGATTTAATACAGCGGTTGCCCTAAGTGGTGCGCCTTACCATACTAAGACAAAGAACATCAAGGGTGTGGTACAGCATTCATGAATATAAAGCATATATTGGTGGTACCTGTCTACGGACAGCCTAGAAAGCCTGTGTTCCCATACTATAGGGAACAGCTTAGAGCGGGTAAAGAGCACACAGGGAACCTCCTTAGGAGGCCACAGTCTAGATAAGAAATTAGAAGAGGTTGCAGTAGATGTGGGGAAAAATGGACACATTTTAGGACGTTGAGGAATGTGGATCAACAAGAGCTGGTAAGTAATTAGATATGGTGGCTGGGGGTCTAAAGAAGATGTCTGTTTCTCGCATAGCACACTGGGTAGAAAGTGGTGCTGTTGACTGAAACAGCAAACATTGGAGGAGGAACAGATTTTTGGAGGAAAAATGATGAACTGTCTTAGACATACTGGGCCTGAAAGAAAACTCAGCAGGAGGTAATAATTCCCCTCCTAAGCACACCCAGTAAAATGCCACATACGTGTAACCAGACTTGTCGGAGACGTTTACGACAGCCTTAATTGTGACAGCCACAAAGCAGGTGACCTGGCGTCCACCAACAGAATGGGTAAACTGATATATTCATGCACTGCAGCGCTGACAAAACTGCTGCACAGGGCAACAGGAATTCACCTCACATACCAGTGATGCGAGCAAAAGAAACTAGTCACTAGACTACAAAAGAATCATACCATGATCTCAGTACACAAAGTTAAAAAAAACAGGCATAATCTGTGGTGTTCAAAGTCTGGGAAGGGATGGAGGGAGGAGGTGAGTGACTGAAAGGGAGCTTCTGGAGAACTCCGTGGAGCAGATTATACTCACTTTCCTGACAAGCTTTGGGTGACATCCGTGTGTGCACTATGGTAATTCACCAAGCTGCAGACTTACGACTGTATTTTTCTGTGTATGTTACAGAGAAAATGTTAATTCAAATGTTAATTCAAAAACTTCTGGTTATCTCACTACTCAAGTTAAAACCCTTCAACAGAATTCTGACTCATGCTATAACATGGATGGCCCCCGAGGATGTGATGCTGAGTGAAACAAGTCAGTCGTAAAATTAAGTATTGCATGATTCTACTTCTTTGAGGTTCCTAGAGCCATCGAATTCAGAAGACAAAACATAGAAGGGTGGCTGACAGGGACTGGTGGAGGGGGCAATGGGGAGTCACAGCACTGCCAAAGAGTTCTGGAGATGTGAATGCACGTAACACTATTCAACTGTATGCTTAAAAATGGTTAAGAAAGGGGTGCCTGGGTGGCTCAGTTGGTTAAGCATACAACTTCAGCTCAGGTTCAAGGGTTGAAGTCCCATGTCAGGCTCTGTGCTGCCAGCTCGGAGCCTGAGGCCTGCTTCAGAGTGTGTGTCTCCCTCTCTCTCTGCTCCTCCCCTACTCATGCTCTGTCTCTCTCTCTCTCAAAAATAAAATAAAAAACATTAAAAAAATTTTTTAAATGGTTAAGATGGTAACTTTTGCATTCTACATGTTTTACCAGAACTAAACATTAAACAAACCAGGAAATCCTTCAAAAGTTTTCTATTCTTCTTGAGATACAGTCAAAACTCCTAACACAGCCTAGTAAGTACTGACCTGCCTTTTCACCTCTACTATGTACCACTCTCTCCCGACTCTCTAAATTCCTCCTTTCATGTCCTCTAGTACATTAACGGTTGTACCTTTTGCACATTAAGAGTTGTTTGTACCTTCTGGTCTTCATATAGGCTCCCTGCCCTGGAACGGCCTTCCTTTCTCTGCTCACCTTAACATCTGCTCGTGCTTTAGTCTCGGTGTTAACATGTTTTCAGAGCATCCTAGACCAGGTCAGCTCTCTCGTCTATACCCTCTTGGCATCCTGGTACTTTCTCTAAGAATTACTAAATTTTTAAAAAGTGTTTATTTATTTTTGAGAGAGAGAGAGAGGGAGAGAGAATGAGTGGGGGAGGGACAGAGAGGGAGTCATAGAATCTGAAGCAGGCTCCGGGCTCTGAGCTGTTGGCACAGAGCTGACGCGGGGCTTGAACCCACAAACTGCGAGATCATGACCAAATCCAAAGTCAGATGCTTAAGTGACTGAGCCACCCAGGTGCCCTCTCCAAGAATCATTAACAATTACTTGGGTTATTAGCTGTTTAGTGTCTGTTTTCACTGCCAAACGATACACAAGTGCTGACTCCCCTTGCCTCCCCGACCAGGCAGTATGCAGGAACTTCTTGTCCTGCCACACAGTAGGTACTTAATAATTATTTGCTGAACAAGTATTGGAAGCACCTGAGTTTAGAGTTTCTAATCCAGATGAATCGCAGTTTGGTGACAACACACAAATGAGAGAGCGCATCACTGACAATGGTCATTGAGGAATCACAGAATAATATTCAAAAAGTAACCTGTGTAAATAGCACTCCAATATTTACGAAGTGATGAAGATGCATTGTGCACGTATGGACGTGTTAGGGAACCGCTAGTCCTTGGCGAAACTCCAGAAGTTATTATTAAAGGAATGACCGCAGGCACTGAGAAGAGAAAGCTTTGATCAGGGGATGCTGGCACAAGCTGGTTATATATGGGAGGCAGAATGATGTCACCCCCCACCCCCCATGTCCCCATCCTAATCCCTGGGACCTGTGAATATGTTAGGTCACCCGGCAAGAGGGAATTCAGGTTGCTTTTCAGCTGACTTTAAAGCAGAGATTACCCTGGGCTGTGAGGGTGGGCCTAAGGTAATCAGAGTGCCTCTTAGATGTGGGAGAGGGAGGTCAGACAGAGAGTGCTCTGCAGATGCTTCACCACAGGTTTTTAAGACAGAGGAAGGGCCATGAGCCAAGGAATGCAGGTGGCCTCCAGAAGCTGGGAAAGTGAAGAAAATGGATTCTCCCTTGAGCCTCCAGAAGGAATGCTGGATTGCCAATTGTAGCCCAGTGAGATCCATTTTGGGCTTCACACTTCCAAAACTGGAAGACAATAAATCTGTGTTGTTTTAAGCCACCTGGTTTGTGGCAATTGGTTACAGGGGCAATAGGAAACAAACACACTAGGGCTAAGCCATGAAAGATTCACTTCTTTTCCTTCCTTGCCATAGCTCCTGACCTAGCAAATCAGGAACAAAGTAAATAAAGTATCTTTGTTTTTCCATCAAAAAACACTTGATTACATCGTTTAAGTTTTCATAACACTAAGAGTTTAAGTTTTCATAACACTAAGATACATGCACCAAAGGCAAGTAAATGAAGTGAATCAGAAAACTCTGTGGTGTGCCCACACCCCCCAAGTGCTGATTAATGGAACAACGCCATCTTAGAAGGTTCTGAGCAACACACTGCAAGGGTCTGTTCGTTAACATTCTTCAATACTTTTGTCATAACTTAGGGCAGGGATTCTTAACTCTGGGATTGTGGACCACCTGGGGCTGCAAGAAGTATCTGAACCTTCTAAACCTTACTGAGAATTTTGTGTTATAACCTACATAAATTTTTTCTTGGGCAGAAAGCTTTGCAGCCTTCATTAAAGTCTTAAAGGGGATCCATAAGTCCAGGAGGCTAAGACCTGACTTAAATGAAGATACAGAAGGTATGCTCATCATAGTCGCTGGTGACACAAAGCTGCTGGGTAAGTAAAGACTGTGGTGACAAATCAGGATTCCAAAAATGTCTTGAAAGGCTGAATGAACAGGCTGCATCCCGTGAAGATAAAATCACATCTTAGGGCAGGCTCTGGAAAAGACTCAGAAGGTTTAATCAACAGTAAGCTCGTACGAGTCAGTGATTAGGGCTACCAAAATAACTTCTATGACTCACAGTAGGTGTCCAGCAGGATGGGGGAAAAAACCACTTCTACTCTCTTCTGCTTCAGTGAAACCAAATGCATTACCATGTTCCGTTTCGGGTTTCTTGTGTACTCATTTCCTAAGCCTACCGTAACAAAGGGGCACAAACCTGGTGGCTTCAGACAACAGAAAATGTACCGGCCCACAGTTCTGGAGGCCAGAAGCCGAAGCCAAGGTGTCTTGGCTCCTTCCAGTTTCATGGATCTCTCCTAGCTCTTGGGACCCAGCCAGACTTGGTGTTCCCTGGCTGTGGCAGTGTAACCCTGATCTGTTTCCCTCTATCTTCCTGTGGCATTTTTCGCTGTGTGCCTGAGTCCTCTCCTCTCCTTATAAGGACACCCACATCGGATTTAGGGCCCATCCTAAACTACTATGATCTTATCTTGATCCCTAACTACTTACATCTGTAAGATCCTATTTCCAAATAAGGTCGCACTCTGAGATTCCAGGTGTACATGAACTTTTATGGGACGTTATTTGACCCACTGCATCCTTTAAGTGGAATACCGACAGACAAATGCATTCTAAAGTTTATGATGCCATATTCTAAAGAACGGTCAAAAGAAACAGGGATATAAAGCTGAAGGTTAGAAGGCTTGAGTCAAACAAGAAATTAACTACTGCCTACAAATATTTGAACTAATTTTTCCCCCAGATGAAAAACCTTCTAACACTGCCTTCCAGAGATGAATGTGGTAGATTTCTGTCACTCATTTGTTCAAGCTTGAGCTGTACAATCATCGGACAGGAATGCTGAGGCTTCAGATGGGTGATTAGACTTGAGCATCACCAATGACTATTAAGTTCTGAGACTT